ACTTCCGGTTATTCGAAGATCGATGAACATGCGGAACTAGTGACTTGGCATTACGATGAATACCAGTTCGACCGCATTCTCCAAATTTTTCACGCATTTAGCGGAGCGCTGGTAACTTACTGTAGACTAATACTATAACAGATGAGATTTGGGAATAGAATGACTTACTAGTGCTAGTTAAAAGTACTTATATGGATTGAAAGCCTGGCTCCGGAGCAAAAGGTGCAGTTGAGCACTAGTAATAGCATTTCTAACATATTTCTGATGGATGTGCGATTATGGGCGCATTTCAATCTTACGAAGTTTTCCGCCAAAGTTTTTCGAAATTGAAGGCATGCCATAAAAGGCCATAACTCATGATACGCCATTGCAAAGGTATTGTACTTTCGTTGAGCCCTATGAAAAATCCAATAAAATTGAACAGAAGGTGTAAAATTCCAACAGCGCATTTTGGAGACAGCGTCCAGGCAAACACTATGACTCGATTAGTACTAGCCTAGGAATTAAACGTAGAACCTGGTTCAGTTCTCTAATGTTGGCCTCTGAATCGGAATTATGGGTCTGGAATACAAAGTGCTAACAAGGCACGCCCGTATCAGCAAGCTCCGCACACCCAGGTAGGTCCCAGAATGTCAAAAATATAGAGCATGAAGATTTGGGTGGATGTTGCCTACAAGCATCGGAAACTTGAATACTGGTTTTGATACGAAAGTTGTGGCTTATGTGCTCGATTCACACTCCAAAATTTCTTTCTGGTTTTGAAGAGCATGAGGGTGTCGAAGGGGCGAAGAAGAAATGTTTTGGTCTCTGAAACAAAAAAGTCTGTTATGTCGCCACCTGGCTCATCTCCACCCATTCGGCGAATTCTTATAAACACGGAAGATGTTGTAGTTTATTAGGTGTTTTATTGAATGTTTCGTTTGGTTTACCAAGGAAAATTTTCTCGGATTAATAAAATCTTTCAGATATTGCTTGAGTCGAACACTATGAATAAAATAAAAGCGAATTCTGAAATGAGAATCAATCTACCAAGGTGACTTGCTCTCTTTTGATAAATTTTGAAAAATTATTTCAAAAGCAGCGCAGATTGTGCACTTTTGGATAAAAATGGATATGGAAGTTACGAAAGTGCTTTCAAGCCACGCCCACCCTGTCAAGC